GGAGGAGCCGAGGAGGAAGGTTAATGGTGGAAGGAAGAAGAAGATAAGGCAAAAGAAAAAAACTGGAAGGAGGACGCGCAACAGACGATGTTGGATGCAGGTGGATCGAACGCGAGCAACGCGAGCAACCGAACGTTTCGGCCGGCGCGCTGGCGTGAAACGTTAACCAAGGGAAAATCCTATTTGCTTTACTTTTTTAGGGTTTAGACAATCCTATTTGTGAGAATCATATTTGTTTTTTTAGGCAAGAGAATCCTATTTGGTAGTACATGCCAATCGGCGAGAGCAACTAATTAACGAGCGCTCCTTCGGAAGCCTCGCAACGATCAGCGCCATTTGGCGCGCTCTCAGCAATTCGCCACGTGTCGTGCTCTGGGCGTTCCCTCCGGATTTCCTTTTTTATTTTTTCCGCACGCGTTTTCGGCTTTTTAAACGGGTTTTTTCCTGGGTTTTTTCGGCTTTTGGTTTTCCACCGGTCTTCCCTAACTTTTCAATCAAAAAAAATTTCAAAAAAAAAATTGTGCAAAAAAACATGTTTCTTTTTTTTCCTTTCGCGAAAGTCACGGTTTTGTTTTCGCGAGAGGCATGGTTGTGCTCTCGTGAGAGGCACGACCGTGCCTCTTGGAAACGGAAAAAAAATTGTGTTTTCTATTTTTTTTTCTTTCGCGAGAGGCACAGTTTTGCTTCCGCGAGAGGCACGGTTGTGCTTTCGCGAGAGTCACGGCCGTACCTCCTCGACAACGAAAAAAACGCGTTTTCTGTTTTTTTTCTTTCACAAGAGTCATGGTTTTTGCTTCCGCGAGAGGAACGGTTGTGATTTCGTCAGAGGCACGGGCGCGTTGCATGTGCACCACTTGTCGCAACATGGGGAATTGGAATGATCTTTGCAATAAGTACTCCTTAATTAGTGATTTCGCCAACCGGCACACAACGTCCAACCCCTATCGTAGTTCCTATGTTGGCTGGCCAGGTAGTTTATTTTTACTCACCGATTTTAGAAATCTTCGGTTTCTTTGGTTTTCTGGGCCGGTTTTATTTGTGTTTTTTCTTCTGTTTTTGGGCCGGTTTTCCAATTCGGCTTCGTTTCTTTTTTTAATTTTCATTTTTGTAAACATGAAATTCTCAAATTTCAATTTTTTTATCAAATTCATGAATATTTATTTCAAATTTGCAATTAAAAAATATTATGAGCTTTTAAACATCTGTAAGACAAAAAAGTTGGATTCGTGAACAATTTTTAAATTCATGCAAAGTACAACATTATGAGCTTTTAAACATCTGTAAGACACCAAACCGGGTTTTTATGTGTAGTGGAGTTTTTTTTAACATGAGCAACCAAGAAAAAAGTGGTCGATCAAACCTATCCAGCCAGTGAGCCGACGGAGCTCTTCCCCAATGATTAGCGGGAGCTCCTAGTGGGCGCTGTTGGCGCCGATTAGCGATGCTGGCGCTTGCAGGAGCGCGTAGCGGGCCGGCCCAATTGTTTTTGTTTTCCGATCGAAAGTGCAACAAAGATATGGAGGGAGCAGACCTCGAACGCGGGACCACAGCCTTCATAAAGAGCTGCGCCAACCACTACGCCAATGACCAGCCAGTGCTCATTGATGTCGTTTGCTACCTTTTAATCTTTCTCTAGCTTTTTTTTCTTGTTTCTGATTTTCTGTAACGGTTTTGTTCGCCTTTTTCCTTATTTTTTTGCTAAATGCTTGCACTTCTATTGATAAAAAATCGTGAATTTGAGAAATTTTCAAAAAAGTTCACGAAATTTTGAAAAAGTTCACAAATTTGGAAAAAAGTTCATCCATTTTGAAACAAGTTCACAAATTTTGAACAAAAAGTTCACCAATTTTAAAAAAGTTCTTTGAATTTGATTAAAAGAAGTTCAGTAAATTTGAAATAATACTTCACTCATTTTGAAACACCTTCATCGATTTAGAAAAAAAGTTCATCAAAATTGAAAAAAAGTTCATCAATTTGAAAAAAGTTCATCGAAATTGAAAAAGAGTTCATCGAATTTGAAAAAAAGTTCATCGAAATTGTAAAAAAGTTCACCAAATTTGAAAAAAGTTCATCAATTTGGAAAAAAGATCACAAATTTGAAAATGAGTTCATTGATTTGGAAAAAGTTCATCGAATTTCAGGAAAAGTCTATCAAATTTCAGGAAAAGTCCATCAAATTTTATAAAAGTTCATCAATTCTAAAAAAAGTTCAACAAATTTAAAGAAAGTTCATTGAATTTGAAAAAACATCCAATTGTTAAAAGTAGTTCACTAAAAAAGGTTCACGTACTTAAGAAAATTTTAAAAAAACATCGTCGATTTTGAAAAAGTTCACGTACTTAAGAAAATAAAACACATGAAAATCGATGGGGGGAAACCTGGAAGAAGAAGAAAAAAGACAGAAAACGATAATGGAAAAATGGCAAAAAGAATAAAAGAAAACAGAAAATTAAGAAATAACAGAGTGAAAAAATTGAATCTCGACAGATGCTGCTCTGTAGCGCGGTGGTTGTGCTAACGAAGTTTGACTCGTGAGATCGCGTGTTCGATTCGTGGTGACGGTGTTTCATTTTTTGCAAATTAAGATACATAGTAATGGGCCGGCCCAGTGCGGGATGCTGCAGGCGCCCGTTTGTAAATTTGCCTATAACGGGCGCCTGCAGCGCTAAATAGGATATGCCATGATTAGCGCACCCAGAATCGTGTTGGCGCTCGCATGCGCTCTCAGCGGGCCGTGGCCCACTAATTACCATGCGAAAGAAGTTATTATTGTTCTTTGTCTCAAAAAAAGTTATTATTGTTCTTTTTTGGCGGTGACATGGAGATAAAGAGATTTGTGCCACCGCAGATTTGATTATTTGAATTTAATGAGTTTATGTTATTGCGTCATGCCTTTTTTGTTGGTTTATTTCTTTGTGGACTAGAATATTTGCCCGACACTTATAATGCACATATTGCGATTCAATGGCCCACACTTCTAGGGAATCATCTGGCTAAAGTATGTTCATCGCTCAAGTCTTCTCATCTTTTGGATGAACGACCCAGGGGTCTTTTAGAAAAGCATTATTAGTAATAAAGTTCGTAGGGGGCCTTGGACCTGCCGACTAAAACAATTTCAGCTCTAGTCAAGATTTGTCGTGGCTTCTTGTGGTGCGGGATGAAGGAGGCACACAGAGGGAATTGCTCTGTGGCCTGGGAGTCTGTATGTAGGCCTAAATGGGCTGGTGGCCTCGGGATCCCCAACCTGCTGTGGCTCAACAAGTCACTTCAAGCCAGATGGTCGTGGTTGCAGAAATATGACAAGGGCAGACCTGGAGCGAGTTTCAAATTAGGGTACCCAGCGAATCCTTGGCACTTGTGCAGGCGGCAGTGAGCACATCAGTGGGCGACGGGACATCCACCCTCTTCTAGGAAGACAAGTGGTTACAGAGCAATCGGACGTGCGAATTAGCCCCTCTAATATATGCCAGGTTCCCGCCTAGAATCAGATAGGATCGAAGACGGTTGCAAGCGCGCTTGAAAACCACAACTGGGCGGGTGACATTGGCCCGGACCTCTCGTCGGATGCTTTGCTTCAATTCTTTCAGATTTGGTTGCGAGTGGCGATGATTCAGACGACAACTGGTGTGCAAGATGTGGTTATGTGGAGCTGGGAGAAAAATGGACAATTCTCAGCGCGATCGGCATATGCGGCCCGGTTGGGGCTCGAGGTGTCACCGACGGCGACATTCACCTGGGGATCCCGAGCGCCCCTCCGGTGCCGTTTCTTCGCTTGGCTCGCATTCCAAAACAGATGCTGGACATCAGAGCGGCTTGCTCGTCGAGGACTGACTCATTAGGATTCTTGCCCGCTTTGTCGTCAAGCAGAGAAGTCCATTCAACACCTGGTTCTGGATTGTGTATTTGCAAGACAAATTTGGCACTGGATGGGAAGGATCACGGACAGGACGGCATACGAGCCGCTCGTGGACGAGGAGCTAGGTTCGTGGTGCACCAGGCAGGACTTGGTCTTACGAAACCGTAAAGAAACAAGAGCAATATGCCTTCTGGTTATGTGGATGCTGTGGAACAGTGGCGTAGCTAGGGGGTGGCCAGGGTGGTCCATGGACCACCCTGAAATTTCCCCATAGCTTGTATGTAGTGTAGTAAAAAGATATTTCTTTAAAAATAAACAAACTTATGTAAATATTTTTATTGATGGACCACCCTGACTAATTGGGCTGGCTACGCCATTGCTGTGGAAGCACATGAATGATGTGGTGTTCAATGATATGTTGCCGTCAATCCCAAGTCTCAAGCAGCGGATTAGGGAAGAAGGGGTGGCTTGAACCAAGGCGGGACTGCTCGGCAAGCTTGCAGGAGGAAGCGGTAGATAGGTGGACTGCACGAGAGTAGTAGTCCTAGTCTCTTGTCGGTAGTGTCGGAAAATCCGGCATGTAAATATCCTCTTTACATATGACTTTTGGGAGTCTTTCCTTTCTTCTTCAATGAATGATACGCATGCTTATGCGTATTCGAGAAAAAAGAAAGAGTGACCATATCGTCGCTTGGTCTAATTGTTGCATTTTAGTGAAGTCTTAAGAGTATTTCGTTTTGAGAGATTGATACCACGAAGAAAATGTCTTCAAGAAATATTATCGCAAATCTTAATTATATGAGTTACTATATATTTTCTTATATTCTTTATCCAATGCGATGTACTTGTAATGGTGGGTTAAACTACGGGGTTCTCTGAAAAAACATTGATTTGGTAGAATATCACATTTTTAGTTGGAATTCCATAAGAATGAATTCATACATGCATTGCTGTAGTTTCATATTTCATATGCAATATGTCGATTCCATTATTTACGTTGTTCTAGTAGTATATTAACATTGTAGCCCTTCCCAAATTACTTGTCACAGAAATGGATTCATCCATTTCATTTCTGAGGGAGTACTATTTTAATTTTTAACCACTACGTGGACGTATATCATGTGACGTGGCGTGTCCAGCTTAATCACTTCCTGCTCGGAACAGTCGCACTGATCAAGAGCTCGGCGCCGGCCCCTGCCTGCATCACGACGACAATGCCCTCCTCGGCACCCGGCGAGACGATGCTGCACGAGACGTGCACGGGCTTGTACCCATCCAGCATGGCCTCCTCGAGACCGGCTTCTTGCCAGCACGCGTCCCGAAGCAGGTGACCCGGAGGCGGCGGCGTCGTCGTCGTCTCCCCGTCACACCCCGCGCAGGAGCGCAGGACGTTCAGCCCTCCCAGGCCATCGCCGGCGAGAACCGTGAACCGCGTCGGCTTCTCAACCCCCAGCTTCTCGCTGGCCTGCGCGACGCACGCCTCGGCTAGTGCGCGGCGGCCTGGCGCATCGCCGATGTTAGACTGTATTTACATGTGTATATTGTAACGTTGTATACCACCTCATTATATATATATATGTGATAGGCCACCCCTAGAGGGTTGTGCCGGTTCCCCCCAAAGCCTATTGTCTTACATGGTATCACGTTAGATTACGTCCGCTTCCGCCTAAAAACCCTAAACCGCCGCCGCCGCGTCCGCCGTCGCCGTCGCCCGACTGCTATGACGTCCGCCGCTGCGTCCGGCTCCACCGCCACCGGTTTTCTGCCGGCCTCCCTCGCGGCACTTCTCTCGAGGCCGCTGGATGCCGCCTCCCTTCAGGCGCCGATCGGGATACGGAGCGTCGGCTCCCTCTTCGCGCTCCCGCCGGCTGCTACTTCGCCCGGGCAGGCGCTTGTGGCCCACACCGCCGCCGCCCCGTCAACCGCGGCTGTCGCGCCCTCGACCACTGCGCCGCTGGTGGCGGAGGACGTCGCGCTGGCAGGCTTCGCGGCATCAACCGCGGCCATCGCGCCCTCTGTCACCGCGCCGGCTGCCCCTCTGACTGTCTCCACGGTGGTCTCACCTCAGCCAGTCTCCTCGATGGGATCGCAGCCGCCGCCGCCGTTTCACTTCGGCCATCTCATCACCATCAAGTTGCCGTCGGACAATTACATCTTCTGGCGCGCGCAGGTTCTTCCGCTTCTTGGGAGTCACTATCTGCTTGGCTATGTCGACGGCTCTCTCCCTTGCCCTCCTGCGCTGGTTGACAGCGTGCACGGTCCGGTCTATAATCCGGCTCACCGTGTCTGGACAGGGCAGGATCAGGCGAACCTCTCCTCCATCCAGGGGTCGCTCTCTCCGGCCGTTGTTGGGCTTGTTGTCTTCGCCAAGACGTCCCACGAGGCATGGACTATTCTTGAGCGCTCGTTTGCGGCACAGTCGCAGGCTCGTGTATCTGGGCTCCGTCGCCAACTTGGGGAGTGTCAGAAGCTTGACTCCACCGCCACTGAGTTCTACAACAAAGTCAAGAGTCTCGCCGACACGCTGGCCTCCATTGGACAGCCCCTCACCGACTCCGAGTTCAACTCGTTTATTGTCAATGGCCTTGATGAGGAGTATGATGCCCTAGTCGAGATCATCAATGAGAGGGGCAACTCCACGCCCATGCCAGCACACGAGGTCTTTTCACGCCTCCTGCTTACTGAGCAACGAGTCGAGACGCGCCGATCCAGGGGCAACGGCGCCCTCTCGGCAAACGCCGCCACCAAGGGTGGTCGCTCCTCTGCTTCATCCAGGGCTCCTTCGGGGCAGTCACCACCACCCGCCTCGGCCCCTCCTCCTACTGCGACGCTACCAGGGGCTGGCGGTCCACGTGTGTGCCAGCTTTGTGGTCGCGATGGGCACTAGGCCTCGAAGTGTCACAAGCGCTTCCAGCGGGATTTTCTTGGTCTCGGCAATGACGGGAAGGATACACGCAACTTTGCTCGTCAGGTCGCCATGGCTGATCGTCCGCCGCCGCAGAAGCCACAGGGACACATTCAGTCCTACTCCATTGATCCCCACTGGTACATGGACTCTGGGGCGACAGAGCACCTGACCAGTGAGATGGGGAAGCTTCACACTCGTGAACCCTACCATGGCTCCGACAAGATCCACACCGCCAATGGAGCAGGTATGCACATCTCTCATATTGATCAAGCATCACTTCTCACTAGACATGCCAATAGGAGTCTTCAACTTCGCAATGTTCTTCGAGTTCCATCTATGACACGTAATCTTCTTTCAGTTCCTAAACTCACTCGTGATAATAATGTGCTTTGTGAATTTCATCGTTTTGATCTTTTTATTAAGGATCGGGGCACGAGGGACATTCTTCTTAGTGGGCGGCTCTGCCAAGGTCTCTATCGTCTGGAGCATCCTGGCGTCGCTCGCGTCTTCAGTGGAGTTCGGGTATCTCCGTCACAGTGGCATGCTCGTCTTGGTCACCCGGCCACACCTATTGTCCGACATGTTTTGCGTCGTCATGAGCTTCCTAGTGTGTCTAGTAATAAAGATGTAGCAGTGTGTGATGCTTGTCAGCAGGGGAAGAGTCATCAACTTCCCTTTTCGGAGTCCAGTCGTGAGGTGAAACATCCTTTAGAACTTGTGTTTTCAGATGTATGGGGTCCTGCTCAGACTTCTGTTAGTGGTCATAATTACTATATCAGTTTTGTTGATGCTTACAGCCGCTTTACCTGGCTTTATCTTATCAAACGTAAATCTGATGTGTTTGACATTTTTTTTCAGTTCCAAAAACATGTTGAACGCCTTCTCAAGCACAAAATTGTTCATGTTCAGTCGGACTGGGGTGGCGAGTATCGCAACCTCAACTCCTTCTTTCAGTCGCTTGGGATCACTCACCGTTTAGCATGTCCACATACACATCAGCAGAATGGTTCAGTAGAACGTAAGCATCGTCACATTGTTGAAGCTGGTCTGACTCTTTTGGCCCATGCATCTGTTCCGTTTCGTTTTTGGAGTGATGCTTTCACCACTGCATGTTTTCTCATCAATCGTACTCTCACTCGTGTTTTGAATATGAAGACTCCCATTGAAGTTCTCCTTAATGAACAACCAGACTACACCTTTTTCAAGGTGTTTGGGTGTGCTTGCTGGCCCCATCTCCGTCCATATAACAAGCGTAAGCTCGAGTTTCGTTCCAAGAAGTGTGTTTTTCTTGGTTATAGCTCTCTTCATAAAGGATACAAATGTCTTCATGTGCCCACTAATCGTGTCTACATCTCTCGGGATGTTGTGTTTGATGAGCATGTTTTTCCCTTTGCCAAACTCCATGTGTCCACTACCGAGCCACCTGTCATGCATTCATCCTCTGTTGCTTCTGACCAATTTGATGATGTTGCATATTCTCCTCTATTGTTGCCTAACCATGGTGCAGGCACTGGTCGTGGGGCTCGTTTGGAGATTCTGGAAGTGCCATCTTCCTCTTCGTCGCCATCGCCTTCATCCTCGGCACCTTCTGTTGTGCATGAGGAGCACATGGCGCCCCTGCATGGCCTCGGTTTCCGTGCTCATGCACGGCCGATCGACGCCCTGGCCCGGTCGCCTCTGGCTTCTGGGCTGCCTTCGCCATCGTCGCGCCCTGCAACCCCGCCGACTGGGCCGGCCTCCTCGGTCCCCGTCTCGCCCAGGGCGTCGGGGCAGTCATCACCAGGCCTGGCCTCGCCCGCCCCTGCCTCGCCCAGGGTGTCTGGGCCCTTCTCACCAGGGCCGGCCTCGCCTGCTCTCGCCTCGCCAAGGCCGTCTGGGCCGGTGTCACCGGAGCTGGCCTCGCCCACTCTCGGTTCGCCCATGACCTCTGAGCCCCTGTCGTCGGGCCAGTCTTCGCCATGCAGCCCGGAGTCGTCTGTCCCGAGCTCGCGTGAGGTGATTCCTGCATCTCCGGCGACCGTCACGTCTCCGTCACCTTCGCCTCCGCCGGCTCCTGCTGCTGCTCTACGTCCACATACGCGCAGTCGGAGTGGCATTTTTCAGCCTAAGCAACGTCACGATGGCACAGTTGCTTGGTTAGCGGCGTGCATGTCTGCTGCTCTCGCAGATCCATCCTCTGAGCCACGCACGTATCAAGCTGCTATGCGCATTCCTCATTGGAGAGAGGCCATGGAGCAGGAGTATCAAGCGCTTCTTCGCAATCAGACATGGACTCTTGTTCCTCCACAATCACGGGTAAATGTCATTGATTCCAAATGGGTTTTCAAAGTGAAGAGGCATTCTGATGGGTCCATTGAGCGCTATAAGGCTCGTCTGGTTGCTCGTGGTTTTCGACAGCGTTTTGGACTTGACTATGAAGACACCTTCAGTCCAGTGGTCAAGCCTACTACCATCAGACTTCTTCTCTCTCTGGCTGTTACTCGAGGTTGGTTTCTTCGTCAGCTTGATGTTCAAAATGCTTTTCTTCATGGTGTCTTGGCGGAGGAGGTTTACATGCGCCAGCCTCCGGGTTTCTCTGATCCGGATCGCCCTGATCATCTCTGTCGTCTGTCCAAGGCAATTTATGGTCTGAAGCAGGCTCCTCGTGCTTGGCATGCTCGTCTTGCAATGGCTCTTCGTACTCATGGTTTTGCATCATCAACTGCTGACTCCTCATTGTTTCTTCTTCAAAGGCCTGAGGTTACTATGTACTTGTTGGTCTATGTAGATGATATCATTTTGGTCAGCTCCTCTCAGTCGGCTGCTACTGCGCTTGTTCGCTCACTTGGTGCTGATTTTGCGGTCAAGGACCTTGGGAAGCTTCATTACTTTCTTGGTGTGGAGGTTACTTCTCGTGATGCTGGCCTTGTTATGACGCAGAAGAAGTACTCTCTGGATTTGTTGCAGCGAGCTGAGATGCTTAAGTGCAAACCGACGACTACATCCATGTCTACCACTGATAAGCTCAATGTTGTTGATGGTGTGCTTCTTTCTTCTTCTGATGCGACAGAGTACAGGAGTATTGTTGGTGGGCTCCAGTACTTGACGATCACGCGACCAGACATTTCCTATGCTGTTAACCGAGTCTGCCAGTATCTGCAGTCACCCCGTGACACTCATTGGTCTGCTGTTAAGCGGATTTTGCGCTATATTCGTTTCACGGTGGCTCATGGTTTGCATATTCGGCCGTCTGACTCTGGTTGTCTTTCAGCATATTCTGATGCAGACTGGGCTGGCAATCCGGATGACAGGCGATCCACGGGGAGTTATGCTGTCTTCTTTGGCTCTAACCTGATTGCCTGAAGTGCTCGGAAACAGGCTACTGTCTCGCGTAGCAGTACTGAGGCTGAGTATAAGGCTGTGGCCAATGCCACATCAGAGATCATCTGGGTACAGTCCTTGCTTCAGGAGTTAAGTATACCCCAATCACAGCCTTCTGTTCTTTGGTGTGATAACATCGGTGCTACATACCTTTCTGCAAATCCGGTATTCCATGCCCGAACGAAACACATTGAAGTTGACTATCACTTTGTGCGTGAACGTGTCTCTCAGAAGCAACTACAGATCAAGTTTATTTCTTCCAAGGATCAACTTGCTGACATCTTCACCAAGCCATTGCCTTTGCCACAGTTTGAGACTTGCAGGCGCAATCTTACCCTTCTAGATTCATTAGAAAGTGGCTAAGATTGAGGAAGGGTGTTAGACTGTATTTACATGTGTATATTGTAACGTTGTACACCACCTCATTATATATATATGTGATAGGCCACCCCTAGAGGGTTGTGCCTGGGTTCCGGAAGTAGCGCGTGTACTTTATCATCTGGTTGGGAACGAGCTTGTTCTGCGCCCGTAGCTGCGCGTGCGTCCGCGCCCACGACTTGAGGAAGTTGATGAAAGACAGCGGGTCGGTGTGGAGCAGGCTGCAGCACGCGCCGATGGCGTAGCCGCCGCCCTGGAACCGCGTCAACTGCGACGAGAAGCACGAAATTTGCGCGATTTTTAGCTCAGGGCGTACGAAAAATGCACGAAGGGGAAGTTCTTGCATGTATACCTGCATGACGAAAGGGGAACACTTCTCGGGGTCCTTGGCCTCCACGTCCGTCCAGAGCGCCAGCGCCGGCTCCTTACTCTCGCGGTCCTCCATCTCCAGGAACGCGGTCAAGGTCGTGTCCATCGACGCCATGAGCAGCCGCACGCCGGCGTCGCAGAGCTTTACGTCCCAATCCCACGGCCCTTCGCCGCCGCCAGCGTGCCGCCGCCACAGCCGCCCGGCCATCTTCGGGTGGTCGGCCAGCGCCTCGCTGAGAGAGTCCTGCACCCACGCGGCCTGCTCCAGCTGCGCCATCGCCTCGCCCTCCAGCCGGTCGCGGTAGTAAAGCACCGCGCGGAACCGGTGCTGCAGCTCCGCGGCCGCGATGGGCAGCCCGGTCACGGCGATGGGCAGCGTCCGCCCGCGCTCCAGCGCGACGCGCGTCGGGACGGCGGTCTGCATGGACTCGACGTGGATATGCGCCATTCTGGTTCTGCGTCTGCGAGCGTCGCCCGTGCGCGCGCGGCTGACCCTGCCAAATATTACAGCCTTGCCGAGAAGTGGTGTATTGGAGAACACCTGGAACAGTGCCCAATTTATACGCGGTTCGTGCAATTTTACGTGCCATTGCCATCGACGCATCTTAGTAGTTCGAGTCGTTTGATTTTGGCTTAGCTACCCGTCGCGACAATTTTTTCATGGGCTGTTGAGGTCACGCGCATGCTGTGTTGCTGCTGTTGAAATCGAGCTAGTCTTTCAGACTTTCACGATAGTCCATTCAGTTTCCTTTTCAAGGGGCACGACACGATCTGCAGTGTCACAAACTCGCAAGTTTTTTTTGAGCTCACAAACTCACAAGTACTGGACCGTTGAAAAGCCCAACTATGTCGGACCAAACAAACAGGCCCAGTCCAGGCTAAACCAGGCCGAGTGGCAAGGTCATAGAACCTTTGCGGAATTTGTCTCTTCTTCCACCTCTGCCCACCTGGCCGCTCCCCCTTGTACGCATTTGCCCGAACACTCCACGCGCGCCGCCAGCCACCCTCGCCCACCGCCGTCTCCTCCACTCACCACACCAGCCACCTCCCCCGCCGCCGCCTCGCCATGCAGAAGGTGCGGCTCAAGTGGGTGAAGAACCGCGGGCTGGACCACATCATCGACCGGACCACCTCCATCCGCGCGTCCTGCCTCATGCTCGACTACCTCGCCCGCCAGCCGTCGTCCCCCGTGCCGGCCCGCGCCCTCGCGCGCTTCCAGAAGCCGCTCGGCCTCACCGTCCCCGTGCTCCGCTTCCTCCGCCGCCACCCGACCCTCTTCGCCGAGCAGCCGCACCCGCGCTTCCCCACCCTCCCCGCCTTCTCCCTCACCTCCGCCTCCGACATCCTCCTCGCGCGCCTCGCCCGCGCCTCCGCCGTCGACTCCCACCTCCGCCTCGCGCGCCTCCTCCTCCTCACCCGCTCCAGGTCGCTCCCGCTGGCCTCCATCCTCCCACTCCGCTTCGACCTCGGCCTGCCCTACGACTTCGCCTCCTCCTTCCCCTCCTCCCACCCCGACCTCTTCGCGGTCTCCAACAACCACATCTCGCTCTCCACCTCCCGCCTCCCCGACGACATCGCCATATCCTCCCTCCAGCGCCGCCACGCCGAGGCCATCACCGGGGCGACCTACCGCGACCTGTCCCGTCCGCCGTCCTCGTCGCATGCCCCCCTCGCGTTCCCGATGCGGTTCCCGCGTGGGTACGGAGGGATGAAGAAGGTCAAGGCCTGGATGGACGATTTCCACCGGCTACCTTACATCTCGCCGTATGATGATGCCTCAGGGATCGACCCTGACAGCGACATCTACGAGAAGAGGAACATTGGTTTGCTGCATGAGTTGCTCGGGCTGATGGTGCACAAGATGGTCCGGAGGAATGCGATCCGTTTGCTCCGCGAGGAGCTTGGCCTGCCTCACAAGTTCACGAGGTTGTTTACAAGGTATCCTGGAGTGTTCTACCTGTCGTTGAAGTGCAAAACGACGACGCTCGTGCTTCGCGAGGGGTACGAGAGGGGGAAGCTTGTGGAGAAGCACCCCCTCGCGGCGGTGAGGGACAAGGTACAGTATGTGATGCGCACTGGCGTGTTGTACCGTGGGAAGGGCTTGTCCAAGCTGGTTTTAGACGAGGATGACGATGAAGAGGAGGGTACACTGGATGGAGATGAGGAGTTTCAAGGAGAGGGGATGGATGAGGATGCTGATGTTGAGTGCTTTGGAATGGAGATTGTGGATGATGACGGGCCTGGCAATGATGATTATGATGAACGCGATAGTTACGATTGACACTGGATGGTGATTTCTGCTTGCTGCATGTTGCTGTTTTGAGATGATGGGCGGTGACTTCATGAGGTGAGGGTTTCAGCAACAGGTTTCAACTTAGTACCTGTAAACTAGGGGTTCACACATGGCTTTCAGCAACTTGGTTTAACTTAGTTCCTGAAAATGAGCGGTTTCAGAAGGCAATGATAATACCATTGTGAATTGCTAGTTCCTACTAAAATTTTGAGGTATTTTACATTGCCTGCTTGAGATGTAGAAAGCTTGTTTAGATACCTAGTTTCTATGGTCATCTTCTATTTCTCGAGGTGAAATTTGTCCCTATGGCTCTCTCTGCTCTCTGGATAGCATGAGATGAGAGTCATCACGATTCAACTGTATGCTAGATAGTTAACCGAAGTACAGAACACATTTCATGTACAGGTTCTTATTCAATTTGTGGCACACACAAAATAGAGTTGCAGCTATGTTAGGTTTGTTGATTGTTGTAATGAGTGGTTGTATTTGCCACAGGGGGTATCACTGTAGAAGATGTTATCACATCTTCTTGGGGAAACCATTATTCTTGTTGGTATATTAGAAACTGTCATGCCGTAATGTAGTGTCTAGTGCTAGAGGTACTCTAACCCTTATAATATTGCTTGTCATGGGGGCCTAGAAAATTAGAAATAACTCAGAAGGCAGCTTGATACCTGGATGTTGGATAGCCTAGCTTCGAGACACTTAATTTTCAGTCTCTCTTTTAGGGCATGAAGCAAGCCTCACAAAGACTAAGTTATGAACTTTAGCCAGGTTATGGCTGCAAATTAGATGTCGGTTTTGTAGGTGAGACTTAATCCTGTTCGGACAGATGATGATTTGATCAGATTTGGGCAGACAATGACCAAATGCAAACTATGATTTCCTTGATTGCAGAAGATCTGCTTGGAATTTTATTAAAGTTGGAATAAAATGTACTCCCTCCGTCCCATAATCTAGGACGTTTTTTGACATTATTGTAGTGTCAAAAAACGTCCTACATTATGGGACGGGGGGAGTATATATTTCTTGATTAAGTTGGCTCATTTGTGAGGCGGAAAACATTTATCTGTTGCTAACCGTCCTTTTGTGATGGCAACCAGCCTCTCTCAGTCACCAATGATAGACATGAGTGTAGCAGTGTCTCTGACTCCTGCTCCTTACAATCTTTCCAGCCAAAGTGATGCTGATCATGGAGCCTTTGCAGTCTTGGCAACTTCTGTAGGACAAATGATTTGAGCTTGCCACGATTATTCTGAAGCCACGTTCTTCCTTTCTTGTTTTCTTAAAAATGGTGCGGTTTTGGTTATGTCTGGCTTAATTTGCCCCGCATAAAATTTCTTTAGCAAGTTCAATGTGACTTTCAGTGATAATTTTAGAGGTTACAAGTCTTAAATGCTGTATTAAAATCTGAAATGCTCATAAACTTCTACCACTTTCAAGTATCTTGGGTTTTTCAACTGGCGCCTCCAAGGCTCCAACTCCAAGGTTAGGAAATCAGGTGGTATGCTCTTCTGCTTCAGTTCACTTCTTGAATTTGGCAGATGATTTTCTGCTCCATTGTCAGAGCATCAATAGTGTGTGTAATGTTAAGTCATCTTCTCAGTCTCAGTGTGCACTGTGCACACCTGGGTGATTGATATAAGTTGCTTTACGAAGTCTTGCCAATTGAAGTTGCTTAGTGTGGGTATCAGTTCCTCTGGGAATGCTAGAAATTGTTTTTGTTTCCATCATAAACGGTGCTGATATGTTGAGCTGCTTTGATCAACCCCGGTCTTAGCTGCACTTATCTGCGTTTGCCGGCCAAAGAATTATTTGTCCAGGTTTCTTGCCCTCTTTTCATTTTGCTATCAGAATTCCTTGGACTTCATAATTTGCTAGGCAGTTTGTCCCGTGCTGATGTAAATGCTGAAGATGGGATGTTGTAAACTTGTTACTGATTCAATTGTGCATCTGTATTGCACCTGTTGGTGAATCAATAGTACCGGCTATCTGTCTACACATAAATAAATATGGTCTTGATATCCGTTTGAAAACAATTTGTTTGGCGATACCATCGGGGCGATACCATCGGGGCATCAGGGGAGGTGACATGCTCAGTTCGCCACATTTTTTTGTACTGAATGCCAGAGTGCTAGCGTTAGGTGGCCCAGCGGACTGCATACTTTGTTCCATGATTTGTTGCTTGTTGATGTAAATGCAAAAGATGGAACATTGTAAACTTGTAAGTGAACCGATTCTGCCTGTGTAATTCAGTGGATACAACAAACTGTCACGGTATGGAGTCACATATCTTCAGGACAATGGGAAATTTCAGGTTTCTGAGGACAGAATCACAGCAAGCCACCAGCTTTTCATTCAGCCTTTTAAAATTACACTGAAATTTTCATATGCATAAAACATATATATTGTAGCATGTTGCACCGACCATTCTTAAGATGTTTGTTTTGCTTTTATGGTGGCAGCAAGGCTCCAAGAACAAAGCATTGGCTGGGGCTCTGTCCATTTATTTACCCCTTGTGGTACAATTGTCGCATGATCCTCCACTATATTTTCTTTCTTGCTTATCTTTTCTTGCGCTATTCAAATGCTCAACTTATAGTACAGGATCCTCGAAATGCCACATGCTTGTTCTATTTTTTTTCTACTGGATGTAAAAATTACATCATCCTCCAGCATCCCAAAGTTTTACCAAGGAAAACAAGAAGGCAAGAGGACGTGAGTCTCTCTGCACGACACCAGAGGAGGGAGCAACTTGACCCTGCCGTGCAAGGCAACCATGATGAATCGTGAGGGAAAAGAAGGCAATGCCAAACCTTCTCCTGATTCCTTGCAATTGTGCCGAAGGGGGGAAGCCCCCACAGCCTCACATCATGTCTTTTTTATCAGGCTAAAGCAGCGAGGCATCATGGGAGAGATGGATGGAACACAGGCGCAAGCATGCATGCATCCATGCTCCGGAAGACCAGCCTTGGACTTTGCAACTTTCCTGGATTCCAATGCCCGAACGGATGGAATGCTAGACATCCTTGCTAGACAATTGCTCCGAACTTTGTCAAAAGGAATTGAGGTCCGCTGCTAATCCCAATGCCTCGTGATGCTAGTTGGTGGTTTAACCTCTGGGGCCAGCTGATGGCGCCAGAATATATGTCTGA